ACTAGAGGCATCGCTACTGTATTATAGAGATAATACATGTTATTCTCCCGGTGTCCACTAGAGGCATCGCTGCTGTATTATAGAGATAATACATGTTATTCTCCCGGTGTCCACTAGAGGCATCGCTGCTGTATTATAGAGATAATACATGTTATTCTCCTGGTGTCCACTAGAGGCATCGCTGCTGTATTATAGAGATAATACATGTTATTCTCCTGGTGTCCACTAGAGGCATCACTGCTGTATTATAGAGATAATGCATGTTATTCTCCTGGTGTCCACTAGAGGCATCACTGCTGTATTATAGAGATAATGCATGTTATTCTCCCGGTGTCCACTAGAGGCATCGCTGCTGTATTATAGAGATAATGCATGTTATTCTCCCTGTGTCCACTAGAGGCATCACTGCTGTATTATAGATATAATGCATGTTATTCTCCCTGTGTCCACTAGAGGCATCACTGCTGTATTATAGAGCACTGCAGTGTTTAATGCATCAAAATCAATGTTGGTAATAATCGTTTACAGATTGAGCATTTAGCATCGAGTTTAGTTGATGTTTGTTCAATATTTAACTCGGTGAAAGTGGACCATAATATTACAATTTTGTATTTTTTAACAGTTTTAGGAAGGGGACATTTGAGGGGACAATTGTCTGACAAAATAAAAATGAAACAAAATCAATATTGTTGATAATCATTGACATATCCCATAATCCCCCTAATATTTAGTATTCAGAAAAGAATTCACTTTCATTTAGTTAAAGTTGAAAATAATATTAATATATATATTTTTATACTAAAGTAACTTCATTTAAGGTTTGAGTTTTGTCCTGTTCTCCTGTATTTCCTGTTCTGAGTCTCTGTGTGTTTGTTCTTTAGGAGGTTGCTGCCGCATCGCTCCGGCTCACGTAGCAGAGTTACGACGACGGTTAAAAACAAGCTGCACGTCTTCAGCCTCTGCAGTTTAACTGGAAGGAAAATAAAACGATGATTGTTGAGAAGAAAGACGTCTGATCCAGGAGTTTATAAAAAATCTTAATTTATTGTAAAATAAGCAATAAATAAACCACGACATCAAATCACACGATGACATCTGTACAAACTGTGTCTGCACATCAACATGAAAATAAACCGTGCATGTCTTCACTTTCTGAGGTTTCACATTTTTGAATGATTTCGAGGGATTCCACTGTCACTTCTTTAAGAACGGGGATCATGGACGCAGCGGTCTGACTGGAGGGTTCACAAAAACGAAAATGTCAACTCACCTGCACAAGGAGTTGTCGTCTGAGAACAGAATTTATCGCAAATGTTTTGCAGATGGCAGTAGTTGAATAAAATGTGAGTTTAACGAGATGTGCTATTAAGCAAAATTAACAAAATAGCAGGATTGGAGTTCAAGACAACACCGACCGTTAAAAGCTGTGAGGAATCTTGACCTTTGACTCTTTTTGACATTTGTATTAAAAGATAACTTAAAACGTTCTATGGCGATTGGACAGACGATCATGTAACTAAGAGCAAATCTTGTGCTTGACCACACCCTTCTTTGGCAACGCCGTCGCCCCCTATTGGTCGATTTTAAGAAAAACATTTTGGGGACATGTTTCACCGGCTAAATTAAAAATATCCAGCAAGTTTGGTGAACTTTGTACAAACTGTCTAGATTTATGGCCGACGTTGCGGCCTCCGCAAGTGGCGCCACCTATTGAGCAATTTAAAAATGTCTTTAAACAAATGGTTCAACGTCGTCATGAAACCTGTCCTGCCAGTTTTGTGGTGTTTAAAGTCTGATTTGTGTTGTGCTACACTCATCTTTAGCATGTGTGGCGCCCTCTAGTGCTCGATTGGACTTTCACTTTCAGTTTCAGGTCCTTTTGAGGACAAATCCTGCAAGATTCATGACGATTGGTCTAACGCACGGGTATTCAATTAAAGTTCAACGAGGTCCAGTTAAAGAATTTCCTCATCAAAGGATCAGAACAGTAATCTCTAACTTGTTCTATGATTTAGTTCCATATATATTGAAGTAGCCAAATTTGAGTGGTTTATGAGACAAATTTTAGTGACGTCTGAACCAAGTTTTAATGTAAATCAGAGTTATGACTTTTCAAAGTGCACCTTTTAATTATAGCGCCACCATCAGGCCGATTGGAGTCATATTTCTTGGCCAGCGCAAAACTACGACGTACAATCTCACATTTCTGAAGAAAAATAATAATCTGAGGCCGTGAAGTTAATAAAGCTCAATAAAACTAATGTTTCCTTGTAAAAAGTTTGAGGCCGTAGTTGGATGTGCCGTTAACAAACTTTAGCTTGTTTGAAACTGAAGCATTAGCAGCTCGAACAGCAACAGTCTGTGTGCCTTTAACACGTTCTCTGCTTTAATAAGTTGTTGCTGCTCAGTGATGATTTTCACTTCCTGTGAAGCTGCTGTTCTTTCTATAGATGAAGCCACCCTAAAATGTTCTTCAGCCCCCCCAAATAATTTGGCATTATTGGCTTTAAAAAAGAAAAAATCTTTTTTTGGTGATGTCATTAAATTAAACTATTGTTTCTCACATGGACAAGTTATTTATAACTCTAACATGCTACATATGTGCGTGCGTTCTGGTTTGTATGTTTTCTCCCCCTTCAAATTACTCGATATAAAGCCCGCATCCAGTGTAAGACTCTGGTGCTAGCCTACAGGGCAGTGAAAGGAACAGCTCCTTCCTATCTCCAGGCCACGGTCAAGCCCTACACCCCCGCCCGACCACTTCGCTCCGCTACCTCGGGGCGACTGGTTGCCCCGTCGCTCAGAGGTCCCTGCGGGCGATCGTCCCGGTCGCGGCTGTTTTCTGTCCTGGCCCCACAGTGGTGGAATGAACTCCCCACTGACGTCAGGACGGCAGAGTCGCTGCCCATCTTTCATCAGGCTGAAGACTCACCTCTTCAAGAAGGCCTACCCTTCCGCTTAGCACTTACTTAGCATCTATTGTATTCATACTAGCTTATTGCACTTATTGTTTTTATATTAGTTTGTGGCACTTATTGCATTTGTTTGTTTCTGCACTGTACATTGGCTCTGGTTTATGCTCTTAGATGCTTGTTTGAGGAAAGGACATGCACTTATTACTTCTGGTGACTAGTTCTCTTGAAAACCGATGTTGAATACACTTATTGTAAGTCGCTTTGGATAAAAGCGTCTGCTAAATGACTGTAATGTAACGATATGAAGTTGACACTGTCAGGTCCGTTCTCCATCCATTGTGTGCGGTCCCTTTAAGAATCAGGATTTGGGAGTGACGCGGATATGAAAGCTAGTTTATCCGTCTTTCCTTTACAAGCAGGAAAATTATTTCTCTTTATTTGAGAAAAGTTCATATTTGTGTTGTCAAATTTCACTATGACCCTGAAATTCTGTCTCTTGTGTTATCATATACTGAATGCAAGCAAAACTACAGAGCAAAATCACACTCTTTCTGATTGAACCAATCTATGAACTGTCTGAAACAATGGACATCCACGGCCCCAAAAAAAATTGGCAAACATGCCACTCCCCTTGGGGCTAAGCCCCCCCTTTATCTGAATCCTAGAAACACCCCTGCCTCCAACAAATACTGACTTTCAACAGAATAATTGATTTAAACCACTAAAAAACTACAATATGACACCATGTCTTAAAAAAACACCAAGTAAAAGTCTGGTGATATTCTATATTTTCTGTATTTCTGCCATAAATACTCACTGATGCATCAAATGTGTATTAATCCGACGCTGAAAGTAGTCCCCAACTAAAACACTATGTAGTCCACCGTAGTACTACGCCAGCAGCTCAGCTTACAGTTAGAGACGAGCTGGTGAACATAGTTCATTTAGCAGCTAAAGAGACAGATATTTGGTGGTGGAGACCAAAAACAGAGCTAAAAGAGAGTAAAATGGACTCTTATTCATCAGGTGACACAAAGACTCCTGATGAATCATCAGGTTGATGTGTAACTAATGGATGTGGAGATAGACATGTGCTTCTGGTGGCCAAAAAAATGGAGTTATTAGAGTTTTAACAATAAAACTATATTTAAAGTTTAGGTCTTCAGTAGAACCAAACGTCAGTGCACGAGACAGTAAGCAGGTCCACCATGGGACCTTGTTCAACACATTCTGACCATTATTCGTCTCTCCTGTTGACGACCGTACAATGTTTTCTGATATAAAGTCACGCGGTGGACCTGTCTCTATACAGAGACAGAATAAAAGCTTTGTTCTGTAACTCAAGCCTCCGCATGAACTACTTTATCACCTTCATACAAACCCTGTAAAGAAAGAAGTGAAGTATTAAATGTGTTATAAAGAGACAAAGGTTGAATATAAACTATTTGATTTGGCTGATAAATATTTACTCACATGTAGATTTTTAACACTTTCTGTTTCTAAAGCTTCTAAAAAACAGATTGTTCTTTATAAAATCCTCAGACACGTAAATAGTGTTTTTATCAGTTATGTGATCGAGCGCCAAGTTACAAAAATTCAGAGGTGCACGACCAAATGCCGGCTTCACTGTTGCGAGATCAAAGGAAGCTCGACACATTGTTGGTCTTTGCTGGACCTGGACCTGGCCAGACCTCAGTGTGTGACGTCTTCCTCGAGATCGCTGTCGGGGGGGCCCCTCTGTCTGTACTCTGTTGTGTTGGACAGACGTCTCCAGCCGCCGTCTCTCTGACTCCCCGTACTGTGAGAACGTCCAAGGAGGCCCAGGCGCTCGGACGTCGTCCTCTCCTCGGCTTCATCGGCGGCGGCAGCGCTCTCGTGGGCGCTCTTCGGGCCCAGGTGGAGCTGGTTGTGGTGGTGGAAGTCGTGGCGCAGGTTCTCCAGGTTCAGAGCCCAGGGGCCGAGCTTCTGCCAGTTGACCCTCTGGAAGGCCATGATGCAGTGCAGGTTCCCCCCCACCTGTGAGCCGGAGAACGACTTCTGTTAGAGACGCGTCAGGACAATCGGCAACAGCGGATCATAAAACTCACTGATCGGATCAGCACGAATGAAACAAAGGAGCAAATCTAACTTTTAGATCCATGACCACATTTCAAAACATAAATGACGTCCTGATCACATGTTTTACTGACGATGGTTCTCCTCCAACATTCAGTAGAACATGCGTTTCTAGTCTCTGATCTCTGATCATGTTTCATTGTAAACAACCAATCAGTGTTTAAAGCAACAGGAGGAGAGCTAGTAACGTTAGCAGCACCGCTAACGGCTAAC